CCCTCCCCCCTCTCGTGCTCTCTCTTTCTCATTCTCTCTCTCAAGTGAATAAATAAAATCTTTAAAAAAAAAAAAAAAGAAGTAGGTGGTCCCAGCAGAGGTTGCCATGTTGTCACATGACCTCAGTCTCCAGAGTCAGCTGATTGGTTAGGGAGGACGAGCCAGGCCAGATGGGTCCTTCTCAGCAGTTGCTTTTCTAAATGGGAACCAGGAGGTACCTGTTCTACTTTTCCCCAGTGGGGACTCAGAGCTAAGAGCAGTCAACTTTCCTACAAAGTAGGGGAAGCCAATTTAAGTAGGACAGGGAAGCTGAAGGGAGAGACATTGAGACAGAGATAGAGATGGAGAGAGGAGAAAAGAGGAAGAAAGAGAAGGGGGGTGAGGGCGGGGGAGGCAGAGGGAAGGGGGAGGGGAGGGAGCTGGCTTCATCCTGGCCCATGGCCTAGCCATGACCCTGTTGGCTTGCTGTTCATTTTGCTTTGGTTATTCATTGCTTCCTTCAGTACCCCACTTTTGGCCTAGCTGTTGGAAATGGAGTTTGTCACTGTCTGTCTTATTCCCACCGAATCCCCGGGGTCTGCACAGAGTCCGGCACACGGTAGGTGTGCAGTCAACATCTGTGAATGAACGAACAAAAGAATGAACAAGGTGCAGAGAGAGTGATTACATGGGGAGAGGTCAGGAACTGCCTGGGGTGGGGGGTGATATTCAAAGTGGGAATTAAAGGGAGAATAGGAGTTTTCTGGATAAGACTTGTGGGGGAAGAGGCTAGAAAAGACAGGGGGGACTAGGTTGAAAAAGTCTTAACTATCAGACTAAAAATTAGGATTTTTACAAGTAGTGGCTGATCTGGGTGTAAATCGGAAGTGTCCCCGAGGATGCCTGAGCTCCATCCATGTAAGTGAGTGCGTGGGTGCTCTTAAGCTCCTCTCTCATCCCAGCTTCTAGAGACCCTGCTAATAGGAAAACCAGGTCCTCCTCCCACCCCACCCAACACCTCTCTCCAAACTGCCCCCACAGGGGTCCCCGCTAAGCCTTCCTGTGGCTCCATCCAGCAGGTCCTGATCCTCCCCAAGCTCTGGGCAGCCTTTCCCCTTCTGACTTGGACCCACACTGCTTCTCCCCAGCAGCTCCCTCTCTGTCCTCTCAGGCTCTCCTCTTCCCAGGCCCACAGCCGTTCCTTAAATATCCGCGGCCTCCAGGGCCTGTGCTGGTCCCTCCCCTCGCTCTGCACCCACCCTGCACTGCCCCTTCCTCTCCCATGGCTTCGGGGACCACTCTGAGAGGCATGTTCCCAACAGCTCCAGACCCAGCTATCCAGAGGCTGGACCTTCCCCTCCAGGCCCTTTGGATCAAACGCATCCCAAATCAGACTCATCATCTTCGCCTCCTGCCCGCTGTTTGCACCCTCCTTCTGATGTACGTCACGCCTTCTGTTCTTCCAGCCTATGAGGAGAGGGAAGGAAGCAGGCTCGGAGGAGGGCAGGACGGGCCACACAGGGGGTCTGCCTGGCTCCAGTCACACTGCCTGATTAGGACTCGGGATGGGGCGGGGTTCCTCACCTCTGACCCCCAGGCCTCCCGGGGCCAGGCCAGTAAACGTTGACGAGATCGATTTCCACCGTGTTGGGAAGTCAGCGGTCAGCAGCTGACCACACTGTGAATTATTCAAGCTCCCTGGGATTCCACCAAGAGCAAGGGTTTAACTAAAGCATGGCCCCATTGTCCTCACCCCCCCACCTTTCCCTCAGAGGCCTGGGCGGGGAGGGCCACCTCCCCACGCGGCCAAGCGGACGCCTGGCCCAGCCCCCACTCCCACCCCCAACCTGTACATCCCAGGACCCACGAGCCTCTTGGTCCTCAAGTCTCTGGGAGGTGCTCCTGGGCTAAGGGGGGGGCTGAGGCCTTGAAGGCAGAACTGGGACCAGGGGCCGGAAGTTACCTGAGGTGCTTTTTTGGTAGGTATAAACCAGTATAAACCAGTCCACAGCAGACCACCATCCGGAGGGACACCTATGGTGGGGAGAGACCGGGCTGTCAAGGAGAGATAATGATCATTTTAAGTGTGATCTAAATTTGTAAACTCTTTGTGACGTTCGTACATCATCATGTGGCCTCAAGTCTTTTTTTGGAACCAGGTGATACATAAATAAAAACACGTTAATTTGCTAGTTGATTATTGAACGAGCACTTTGCTAAGGTGCTAGGGGATGAGGGAAGACTATCGACTCGGCCCTACCCTTGAGTAATACTAGTACTAACGCTAACAATAAGGGGAACTGTGATGTGTCGGGGAAGGTTCTAAACCCTCGACCAGCTTCAGGGGACACCACCCTCATCACAACCCAGCGAGGCGGCGGCTGGAACTGTCTCCATTTTATAGGCAAGGCAAGATATTATAGGCGAAGCACAGAGGTACAGAACGTGCCCCAGGTCACACAGCCTGTGTAAATGATGGAGCTGGAATTTGAGCCCCAGGTGCCTGATTTCCGGTCCCTGCTCTCAGCCTCTCTGATCCAAGTTGTGTGAGGGGGTTCAGTTGAGGTCAGGTAGGTGATCACCTAAGTAATGATCTAACAACAGAGCTGTGGAGGAGAGATCAGAACTAATCCATCCAGGTTGGGGGGAGGGGATTACAAATCGGAGAAGGCTTTCTCGAAGTGTCTTTTAAGCCGAGAACTTCTGGAAGAGGTGTTGGATGGGGGAAGAGTCCAGGGAAGGAGGAGCATTTGGAGCCGGTAGCGCGACCAGCTGGATGACCCTGCAGCCCAGGGCTCTCGGAGGACCCCCGCTCCTCCGGGGCCTGGGCAAAGAGGAGCAGACAGGCAGGCCGATGGCTGCACCTCAGCCTCCCCCTCGCTGTGCCCACTTCCTCTCTGTCTGCCGGCTGTATTTTTAGATCTCTTACTTTCCGATGACTGGTGGGCTGGCAGTATGTGGGCCTTCCTCAGAACTTTTATAGTCTCCTACCACGGGTGTCTCCATCACAGCCCTCCCCTCGGAGACCTGAGCTGCAGAGCTGATTGGAAGCCCCCCACCAAGCCCTGGCCCCTTCGCAGATGCCCTCGGGCCCAGGGGCCCACTCTCGATGGCCAGTTGACACCAGCCACCTCTCTCCCTCCCTTCTGTCTGCTTTCTCTCTTTCTTCCTCCCGGTTCAATCCACTCCGCCCCACAGTGCTTATCTGTGCCAGACACAGGGCTGGGCCCTGACAGGCAAACCTACAACTGACCTGAGTGCCTTTAGCAACACACATGCTAGAGGCAGAGTGGGTGTACACGATTTGTATCCCAAATTGGGACGTGCGTGAAAGCCAAGGGACGCTGTTAACAATTCTGCGGGGAGCACAGTATCAACCCAAGCAAGCTGAGATACAAGTTCAAGTTCACCCCAGTTCAATAGAAGGATGGACAAGGGAGGAGAGACTTGACATGGGGAGGACAGGTAGAAGGGAGTCTTGGCCGGGGTAATGGCACGTGCAAGGATGTGGCAAGTTTGGGGTAAGTGGGGAGTTTATGGTGGCAATAACCTGCTACCATGGAGAAGGGGCGGAACGAGAGCCCAGGGTGGACTCCAGGTGGGAAAAGATGGACAGTTTGGTACAAGTAGAACAGAGTGGCAAAACCTTGCCGCTCTGCCACCCCTGGGCCCATAGCAGGCATCACTAATCGATCACAGCACTCTCCTTCGCACGGATTCCACCTGCCGGCCCTCAACACAATGGTGGGGCCAGTCACTTCCCGTTGTCAAGCTATGCCCTGGGGGAAACCTATTTGCCACCAGGGGCTCAGCAATGGGTACAGTGTGTTCTTAGCTGGAGAGGAGGCTGGAGTTTAAACTGAGAGAGGCCCAGAATGCGGGACTAAGGAGCTAGAATCATCTTCTGGTGTTAGGGAGCCATTGGAGGATGTTGGGGGGAGGGATGTACCGAAGACTAACATTTCAGAAAACCAGTGAGGGAGTGCCAATGTCCAGGTGAGAGAGGAAGCCCCCCCCCGCACAACTGAACTGGGAGCACAGAAGGGAGCCTAATGACTGAGCAGATGTTGTGGGGCAGGAAAAGAAGAGGAAGACTTTAAGGAGGACTCCCAGGCTTCTGGGTGACTGACCTGGAGTCTGGGAGCACGCAGTCTGCCAGGAAGCTGTGCCAACATGGTGGGAGGTCCTGATGGGACTCTTTGCTCCAGAGGTCACCAAACAATGTAACATCACCAAGGAGAGGGCCACCCTGGGACTCCATGCCCCTCGGGGTGGGGGTGGAGCAAACTGGTTTGGCAGGTGTTAGCAGAGAGCATCAGAACCTGGAGAAATTCACCTTTTGAGGGAAATGAACAATCACCAAAATCTCATCCCTGCCCCTCAGGACCCGACAGAGGCAAAGAGGGGCCTGCGGTGATTCCTGCCCCATCTCTGAGAAATGGGAGCCCCAGGGAGCTGCTTGCAAAGTTTGGGGGTGACTGCCACAAGGGGAAACTGATATGCCATTCCCTGGCTGGATATCTGCTTAGTCATGGGCTGCTACGTGCCCCTGGGCCACCAGCATGGAACATGGTGGCCCAGGGCCAGGGTAAGGCCCCTTGGGGTTTGGTTCCTGAGAGGCACAGGGATTGAGCCGAGTCGAGCCTGTGGAGGGCCAAAGGGAGCGGAGGCTGCAGGCTTGCTGGCACCCTCTCAGCATGGGGGGCATGTGGCTGAGGTGCCCGCTGAAGCTTAACTGGGAGGTGCAGCTTTGTCTGGAGAGGGACCACCAATGCCTGGAGGACGGCCCAGGAATTCAGTCCCTGGTCAGTGGGATCTTTGGGGGCCTCCACCCATTATCACCAGAACCATAGGCTTCGAGCTAAGTCCACCACAGCCATGACTCACAAGGGCACCACCGCCTGGCCACGTGTCACGCGAGGGGCAGCTGCTTTCTCTTCCTTCTCCCCCAAACCCAACCCTAGGGGTGAGCACAGAGAAGGGGTGTGTGTGTGTGTGTGTGTGTGTGACAGAGAGACCACCCTGCCAGACCCAGTACTCCCCAAAGTGCATGTATGCACACATGCACACACACACACGTGCGCACACACACATACCCACATGCACACACACGTACACACACGTGCACACACATGCACACACGTGCACGCACACATACTCACATGCACACACACATACTCACATGCACACACACACTTTGAGCCCCTAGAGCTCCCAGCTTCGCTTGCCTTGTGGAGGAAGAAGAAAGTTTGGGGTCATATCTGAGCCTGAGGTTTTAAAATGACCAGGTCTTAAGCAGAATGGGACTGCTTTTATAACCAAAAGTGTCTACAAGTCAGAAACTGGACTAAAGTGCTGTGGAAGGTGTGTGTCTGCCAGCTGCTAGGAGGGTTCACGGGGCCCAGCTGGTAGCCATGATTAGAAAAATAATTGTAACTGTAACCTAACGAGCTGAAAGTCCTTAATAAGCTGTTGACAAAGGGAACCCAAAAAGGGGATCGGATTTGAAAAGACGAAGAGGATTAGAAATAAGGACAAACTGAGGTGTTGTCAAATGAACTAGGCAGGGGGACCAGGAAGGTCTCACTCTGCACTCACCCCTCCCTACAAGGTCTGGGGGGAGCCGTATCTACAGGAAACATGGTTGGACTTCTGCCCTTCACCTGACTCTGAGCCCTCCCTAGGTAGGCTTCCTCCAAGGCCGGACCCAAATCTCAGGATCCCTTCACACTAAGTAGGCCAAGTGGGATAGGTCGGAGGCAGCGGGGGTCATGCAAATGACCTTCCAGCTGGGAGTGAGCAGAAGTGTGTCTATGGCCCTCACTCAGCCCACCACTTCTACAGCATGGCTGGGAAGCTGGCAGAGGCAGAGCGGTGGGCGATGCAGAAGGAAGGGGAGAACCCAGTTCAAGGCATGGAGACATCGGGTTCCTCCTGGCACCCACCTGCTGGCTCACGCGGCTCAGTCAGGGGACCCGACTCCTGAGATCTAGCTCTCTCCCTGGGGGTGGGCGTAGGGTAAGGGAAGCAATGGGGTGAAGGAAGGAGCTCTTGCCTCCCCCCTGCTCCCCATACTTAGGGTTGCAGAGAGGGGTTTAGCCTGGGCCTCCGAATTTGAGGGGCCTGTGGCTTATCCAGGGGTGAAGGATAAGAGGTCCGGGGCTCTCAGGGAAGAGCTGGGGTAGAAGACAGGAATCTGGGAGTCATCAGGGGAGACGGGATGCCACAAGCCTCGGTGTAAAAACAAGAGCAGAAGAGGCATCCAGGAGAAGGGAGCCTCGGGGAAGCCAACTTTGGAAAATGGGAAAAAGAGCGCCAGGAACTTGGGTTCGAGCCGGCGGCTGCCAGATCCTGGCCACCCTCCGGGCCAGACCCCCTCTGGCAGTGGCCAAGATGGGTCTCTGCTGCTCTGGGAAACCTAATGACCTGCGTCTGCCCAGGTGGGCAGCGGGACAAGTTCACCTGCCCACTTCCTGCCCTCCCCCTCCTCCAGCCTGGGCTCTTGTTCTGGTCGGGGCGGCCGCTGAGGCAGCTCCCCCAGGCCAGCCGGCGCTGCCCTCCCCCTCGGGCCCAGCGTTCCAGACTTTCTCCTCATCAGTTTACCAGCCTGGTCTCATTCCCTCTGCAGATCCTCTCGCCAAGTTCTGCCTGGCTCCCTGCCCCTGTCTTCTCCTCTCCTTAGAGCGGGAGCCAGTTGGGGCCCCTTCTGCAGATGCAGCTGCGTGCCAGGCCCAGGGACCCCTCCCGCCTCAGGCAGCAAGAACTAGTGTCCCCCCCCCCCCCCCGCCCCGCCCTTACAAGCTCGTCTGTGTCTGTCCTCATACCCAGTTCTGACAACGGGGTTTATGTTCCACGTCTGAGACCGAGCCCCAAGGACTGGCAGGTCACATATGCTCACCCCTGGCCACACAAACTGGCCTCAGCATCTTCAAACCCCAGCCCTGCCTGCAGACACGGGGACGCAGACGGGAGCTGATACTCTCAGGGTCTGGGGTCTCTCTAAGCCTCCATCGTTGGCCATCTGTATGCAGCCCATTTGTCAGCTGGGGCCTCCAGTCCTGGACGATTTCAAAGATACCGGTTCAAATCCATATTCCACAGCCTGTGGAAACGCAAAAATATCCTTAATATCCTTTGGAGAGTTCTGGAATGGTTTGCTTTTTCACACTCCCCTCTACATCAGAGCTGCGGCTTCTGCTGAATTCGTTTCGTGTCTGGATTTGGGCTGCTGCCCCAGGCCTGCTGTTCGGTTTTTACAGAGCTCTGGGTGAGACGGGGAATGTAGCGGGCACCTTCCACTCTGTCCACCAGACGCCCACTGCGGAAGGTATTTGTGTGTGTGTGTAACGCGGGTAGGCGGACGGCGACTTAGGGAAGTTGAGAGGATGGTTTCAAGGGCTACAATTAAATCAATTTCAAACAGATCAGTGGACATCCCGTTCTTAAAAGCTCTGGGGTCACCCCACCGCTGGGAACTTTCATGGGCCCTTTGACCTCACTCAGTTCCCTAGCCTGTCCTGGCTCTTTATCTTCCTTATTTGCATCTCTCTTCCCTGAAAAGCAAAATAGTGCAGTGGTTCAATGCAAGGGCCTGCCTCTGTGAGCTTGGCTCTGCATCTTATCAGCTGTGTGATCAAAGGAGATTTACCTAACCTCTCTGAACCTCAAGCTTATCTTTTATGAGGATTGCACAAGTTGAAGATAATACGATTTGTGGTGAGGATTTCATAAAGCAATCCATGGGAAGCACTTAGCGTAGGGTTGGCTCAGTGATGTTAGTTATTACTATTATTACTGTTAACCGTTCCAAATTCTCTTCTTACTCTCCTAGGCAGAACAATTCAACCTTCTCGGCGTTATCCCAAATACTGCACATCTTTAAATATTTAAGCACAGAAAGGCTTGTTCTTTGAACAGGATTGACCCTTCTTTGAAAGGGGTCAGTTGAGGTTGTGAGTGGGCCTACCAGTGACTTCACATTGGTAAATACTAAACAAATGTATGCCCTTCCTTCCTCTTTCTCTCTCCCCGTACCCCGCTCCCCATCGGGCTGAAAGTATACGGCCGAGACCAGCAGTGGAAGATCTTGGGCCTCACGGGAATCAGCTCGACGTTACTGAATTATTGGGAAAGAGGTGCCCTTTTTCAGGGATTTGTTCTTAGGTTTTCATGGAACCTAAGAATGAAGCCAACATAAACAAAAAGACAGCTTCTTGGTGATGTCATTTGAGCTTCTATATCCTACCACATGTGGATTCAGTCTGAGTTTTCCAATCGTGTGAGCCCAGAAATCCCCCTTTTCTTGTTTAAGCTAGTTTGATTTGAGCTTCTGTCATGTAAAATCGAATGAATCTTGACTAAAGATTCTTGAATCTTGAATTTCGACTACAAATGGGGTATATTACAAAACAAGGGGGAATATCACGGAAGTATAACCAGAAATCACAGGAATGAAAAGGCTGCTTCTGACTCCATTTCTCTCTCTCTCAGGCTACACAATCTCCCATTCCTGCTTTTTGTTTGCATATCTGCTTCTTGTTTTTTAACTTTGCTAACCAGTGTTTTTGCTGGCTCATCTAGGAAAAGGTCCCAGGGCTGACGTTCAGTGGCCCCGACTGGGTCATGTGACCACCCTGAATCATTCACTGTGATGGGTCAACCAGTGAGCCCATTACCTCTGGATCTGAGGATTAGGGTCAGGCCCACCTCAACCAAATAGACTGAGAGGATGACGAATGGTTTAAAACAAAAAAAAATCAAAGTACTCTTTTCAGACCAATGGGGAATGAATGCCAAATATGCACACACAGGTCCATGCACACACACAATGCATCTCTGACATGGAGTTGAGTGAATTTCTGTTTTACAAACCAGCTGAACCCCGAATAAGCTCAGGGCCAGCCCATTGTCCCAGAGGAGCATCTCTAATGGAAACTTCCGAACTTCCACTAGTGACAGCAGCTTCTGGAGATCTGGTTTCTCTTGGGCTTTCCTTAATCTCTTTTCAGGTCACACCACATGCCAGAGGGGAGCTGGTTCTGGCTCTGCCCCTACCCCCATGAGTCCCTTGTATGGCATCATTTGAGTTATAAATGCCCCATTCCATGGAATCATGATGGGGAGGTGGGGAGCTCCAAGGAGAGAAGCCAGGGAGTAAGGAAGGGATCACTGAAGAGGGAGCCTCTGAGCAAGGCCTTCAAGGATGGGCATTAAGACC